ACGCACGTGTTTTTATATACCTATATTATATAGATGTCACACCTGTGACAGGTAAAAACATGCTTTTTTTGAAAAACAGCACCATCTGTTGGACGTAAAAGCAACACACGCTTTTACCAGACTGAGCCACAGCAACGCGTGGCCGGGTACAGCTAGTATATATACTATCCTTGATTTGCTGAAGAGTCCATGCCATTAAATTTACACTTTTGACAAGGACTAGATATGATATGTAATATTCAGTTAATGCTGGGGGAGAAAATAGCTTTCTACAGTTTAGGGGAGATACTGTAGTTATTGCATATTCTGGATTGTCTTTGTGCTTTATAGCTGGGATGGGGTGTGGAGATAGAGTCTTCATATCAGCAAGGATACGTAGATGGAGCATCAGCAGCTGTGACAGCTTGCTGCTTTTATCAGGATGATGATGTGACGGTTGCAATGCTATGCTGCATGCTGTGCCCCTTTTGTACGTGGATCTGATGTTACATAGAACATGCATACAGACTAGATTTGTATCCTAACACACCCAAATGATTTGGGAGGAAAATTGTAAAGAGAATTACTGAGGCTAAGCTTGATACAGGTATGAAATATTCTTTTTATTTTTCCTACCTTCCATTATGTCCATGATGAAAATAAAAAAGGAACCTTTTGTAATAAGAAATAATATTTTATAGTGACTGAATTTAGAACTGTCTAGACCAGGAGTGTCAAACTGCTGGCCCACGGGCTAGACTCGTCATCCAGAAGCTGCGCCCACCCCATTGCTGGCAATGGCAAAACAGTCTCAATACGTCTCGCGACGTCATGTGACGTTGCGAGTTTGACATGTCTGGTCTAGACCTTTTACTGGATATAAATGAAAGCAAGCAAGATTCGGATTAAAGCAGTTTTTCTCATAGTTGAACTTTTTCTAAGATTCTAGAAGAACTATGGCAATCTCAACTGAGACTGAATACAAAAGGAGCCCTAATACTTATTGGATGAAAATATCTTAATGGATTATATCAAGCATGAGCAGTTTGTTTTGGCCTAAGGATATGCATGTCTCTGAGTGGTATGCTGGGAACTATTCTGTTAAAAAATGCATGGAAGCTACACAAAAAGAACCTGAATTGTACTCTAATGCATTACATGTAGAAATATAATTGTGCCTTTACATTTTTTCCTTGTTCTGTCATATTACATATTACAATTACTCTTCTATAAATTGAAATCCAGTGTATGCATGTAATCTGTGTCTTTAAAACGGCCAGTTTAAATCCATTTCTATTATTTTAAATAATTGTCCTCTTCTGCCATATGAAAAAAATGAGTTTCCCATTTACCATGAATCCCATGTACATGTTCAAAATGTGCAGTTTAAATATATTTCTCTCATGCATTTAGTAAAATCTTTCTTTGCATTAAAAGCCAAAAAGCAGGGACAACTTTTGCTACGGCTTTGGGACCAAAGACACTGAATACACACACAGTCCTGAGTCTGTAGGTTCTGCACCCTTGTTGCATGTAGTATCATTGCACATGAGGGAGAGAAGAAAAAAGCGAAAGAGCGTACTGCAGTGTATGGTGCCATCCATTGACACCATCTCTATTTCCTTGAGGTCTCAAATAGATCTTATAAGTGTTCTTTAGAAATGATAGGCAGCTGCAGTTCGGCATCTCTATTTGGAAGCAGAGGCTAAATGAAAGAAACTTTAGAGTAGAGTATGCTTTGTAAATGGCTGTTTCTTCCGTTTAGTAATTTTGTGAGAAGGTAAGTCCTCTCTCAGCACCATTTTGTAAGATGCCCCTTGGCCCAACACTCCAAATCTGCTCCTCAGCTCAAAACAGGTGGGGATACCTGAAAAAAGATGCAGCTAATGCATACATTGTAATTGGGCAAAGGCATTTTTGAGCAGTTATCCACTAGACCAGGAGTCTTCAAACTTGGCCCTTTTATGACTTGTGGACTTCAACTCCCAGAATTCCTCAGCCAGGAACGCTGACTGAGGAATTCTGGGAGTTGAAGTCCACAAGTCATAAAAGGGCCAAGTTTGAAGACCCCTGCACTAGACTATTCAAAAACAGTGCTGATATATATCAGATATATCTGATACTTCCAAAAAATATAAAGCCATTTGGAGTAGGCAATTCTCTTAAGACTGGTCACTCTACTGGATAGAGCTATAGTTTATTCAGGCACTTTAACTCTCTCAAATTATTTCCACCACTTCTTTAGCAGAGAGTTCCTCAGTTGACTTCATATCCACTGACAGGGAGGAGGAGAGGGGGAGAGAGAGGGAGGGAGAGAGGGAGAGCGAGAGAGAGCTTTTTTCTGTTTTTAGCATAATCAGAATTTTCAAATTTTAATATCAGTTTCCTTTATCCTAAGGAAATCTGTATGGGCGTGGAGCAACTGATAACAAAGGACCTGTCTTAGCCTGGATAAATGCTGTGAGCACATTCAAAGCACTAAACATAGTAAGTAAAAATGCGGTCTTGTAGAAAAAGAAGTGTTTTAAATAATATCAAAAAAGAGCAATTGGAAAAGGCAGTTTAAATTATAGAAATATCAAGGAAGAGAGATTCAACACTCACCTAAGAAATTAAAGGCTTATCTGGTCTGGCATTCTTCATCACATAGGAGCCAGCCAAAGGCCTCATGAAATATCTGCGAAATAAATTCAATTGTTCTCTTGTGTGGTTCTTCCCAAGTAAATGGTATTTCATGGACTTATCCTTGGATTCTGAAAGGGTTTTATAGTTAGCCATTGGTAGTCCATAGTCTATCATTGTGTCTAGTTGCGATTAGCATTATTGAGATTTGAGATAGCCACTCCACTCCAAAAGATTCTGCATGGCTGTCAACATCCAACTTAAAAACATAAGGATAATAGCCCAGACAAAAACAGCTATAATAATTAAAAATATATGATATGAGGTTTTGTTACACGTTAACCTCAGGCTTGGGGACAGAGCCAGGTCTTAAGGAACATTTGGAAAGCGGAAACTCTAGGTCTGCGACAGAAGAAGACGTGCTTCCTTCGTCCCATAAGAGGACAGCATTTGAGAGACCTTGCAGCACATCTGATCTGCCTGAATACACTGGATGGGCAAAGACAGTTGGAGATAGGCAGTCCTTCAAATAACCAGGCCCTATGCCAGGGGTGTCAAACTGCCGGCCCACAGGTTGGACGCGTCATCTGGAAGCTGCGCCTACCCCATTGCCGGCAATGGCAAAACTGTCCCGATACGTTGCGCGACGTCACGCGACATCGCGAGTTTGACATGTCTGCCCTATGCCATGAAGGGCTTTTTAGATGACCAGCTTAAATTGCACTCAGAAGTCAAGTGTAGCCAATGCAGCTCGCCTAGCATGGGGTATAATGAAAAGTGTGTGTTACTTCTAAACCGGTGACCATCAACACATCTGGTGGCAGTGAATTTCATAGTTCAATTACACATTGGATAGAAGTGGATTTTTTTTTAAATTCACATCTTCTTAGATTCTGGAGAAGATATTTTTCAAAGAGGAACAGTATATAAGGAGAAAATAATAATGTAGTCTGGCCATCCAGTGTTGTATCAAATAGGAAAAGAAACACCAAAGAATAACCCGGAATGAGACGGTCAGTTTCTTATACAGTTAATCAAAAATAGGAGAGTGTATGTTGGGAGTCATTCTTTCAGTATATTGGCAAACTCAAGAAGTTCAGATTCCATTTAAAACAGATGTAGTGGTCTCGTTCATAAATAGTTGATAAGTCAACAAGTCCTAGAGACACAGGCAGTTGATACAGCATATGATTATGCTTATGACAGTAATATTCCAGGCTTCTGGTTTCCCTTTCTTTCCTTTGTGATTTCTCAGAGAGACTAGTCCACAGAGCACTTCCTTTTAGTCAATTATACTTTGATCTCTCCAGTTAAAACGAGTAGGAAATCTGCAGCCTTTAAGAACCTAATTTCTAGAGCTGTGTCAATCAGCCAAGATCTGATTTGCATGTACCCTTTGAATAATGAAATCAATTTGATCCCAAATGTTGGTTTGATCTTAAAATGTGTGTGTTTGTGTATGTGTGTGTGTGTGTGCATTTGAGAAAGGTTGGTTTCAATTTAGTTCAAAGGCACCTGATTTGTTGAGACAAATCATGTTTGTTTTTTTACACCAGAGAACAAAAAATGCTTTATCTCAATGCCACAAAGATCTTTATTGAGGCGAATCACTAAGCTCTTTGTTGAGGCTAATCCAAGCCACATTGCAATGAACTGAACATCAGCTTATACATTATAATTCTGTCTGACATTAAATGGAGAGTTCTCTTTTTAAAATGGTTGTTTAAAAGGGAATTATTTATTTTTAACCAGGATTTACCAGTAAACATCAAATTTCTTATTGAAGGCATGGAAGAAGCAGGATCCATTGGACTGGAGAAATTGGTTGGAAAAGAAAATGAAAGATTTTTTTCCAGTGTTGACTATATTGTGATTTCAGATAATACTTGGCTTGCCAAAACAAAACCAGCTCTTACATATGGAGCTAGGGGAAATGCCTGCTTCTCAGTGGAGGTAAAAAGACAAAACCAGAATTATTTGTGACTAAAATACTCTGATTGTATTCTAGGGGAGTTTCTTTGAAGCTGATAAGATGCAAATTTTACTGTCTCTATATAACTTTTCCCAATTTGATGCCCAATAGATAAATTGGATTACAACAAATGTAATTTCACTTTTTTGGTGGGAATTTTGTGATATGTATGGAGAGCAACAGATTATGGAAGGTTACTATAGAACAAGAATGGATATAATTTGTGTTGTGTTTAGAAAATTGTATTAAGCCCAGGAAATCTTAGGAGCAACCTGGGAAAGCTCTCAGAAAGTCTCAACCAAATTCAGAGTTGTAACTGAGGATACAATAGCAATAGCATTTAAACTTATATACCGCTCCATAGTACTTTTCACCACTCTTTAAGCCAGACATATCAAACACAAGGCCTGGGGGCCGGATGTGGCCCACGAAGTGGTTTCATGTGGCCAGCGAAGCCATCCTGGAAACAGTGAGGGAACGGCCCCCGCTACCTTAGCCCTGGCCCAGGTTGGCCGGGAGCCAATGTACAATTTTGTGGTGACCCTCTATGCTGAAATGCATTCAGTCTTAGCTCCACAAGGCCGCCTGGAAACAGCGAGGAACTAGCCCTTGCCGTGTCGGCCCCACCCCCTGAGTGCATGCTGGGGAGGTGTCACCCTTTGTGAGGAATGAAGAAATGCACCATCGCCTGGAAGTGGCCAGCAAATGGCTCTCGCCTACTTCACATATCCGGCTTGATGGGCTCTGCTTAGTCCCACCCCTTTCTGCCAGAGACCCTCAGATCTGTCCCACTCCTGCCCAGGCCCCCCAGGCACCCTTGACGCGAATGATGTAGAGCTGCCCACGCCCACCCAGTAGGCCAAACCCACTCCATCCATGCCCACCCAGTAGGCTGCACCCACCCTGGCCACACCCACCTGGCCCCCGAGGGCAACCGCAATGCTGATGCGGCCCTCAATGAAATTGAGTTTGATACCCCTGCTTTAAGCTGTTTATAACATCAGCATATTGCCCCCCAACAATCTGTATTTTACCGACCTCGGAAGGATTGAAGGCTGCGTCAACCTTGAGCTGGTCAGGATTGAACTCTTGGCAGTGAGCAGAGTTAGCTTGCCATACTGCATTCTAACCACTGCACCACCACAGTTCATGACAATGAGGGATGACATCCTTCAACTCTATGGAGAAAAGGAAGGATATAAAAGTAACTAATAAGTAACAAATGAATTACAATCCTAAAATCCACCAATCAGATTAGATGAAAAAGGATAGTTCAGCTGAGTGGAAGAACAGTAAAACCCAAAATCTTTAAGCATCTGCTAAGATCAGTTATTTATAAACGATGCCAAGATCAAGTTTAACAGTATTTCAAAGAAATGTTCACTCTTAGTTTTCTTTATTCTTTTTCTGCAACTCAGTTTAGCAGTAAGGTTTATTGCTTTTCAGCTGCAGTCGTTGTTAGGTAATTGAGAACCAGAAATCTATGCTGACTTACTGCGAAACCTGAGATTTACTAATAGATCTTTTTCTCACTGCTTCCATACAGAACATCTTCATTCTCTGCACCTTTTCTGTTCTTCTTCTTAACTAATGTAAGACTATTCCCACACATTTAATCATCAGCCCTGATCATAATCATATATTTGAATTTCTTTTACTGTTAAGGAAATATATGTGATTATTTATCATGCTTATTTCATGTGATTATTTATCATGCTTATTTCCTACACCCTGTGTAAAGAGATCAGAAGCTTATTGAGCTACCTCATTTTATTTTCAGAATCTTTTGAAATAGATTAAGTGTAAAAGAATAGTGAATAGCTCAAGATTGCTTTATAATACCTGACAGACATTTCAAACTGAGCTTCCTTCAATCAGAATCAGTGCTTTTTATACACCATTATATACTGGCTACAAAGTAATGGTGGGCAAATGGAATTCTTGGATTGACAGCTACCTGTATTCTTGGCTCATTACAATAGTAGCTTTTAACAGGAATTGTAGCTAGCATCCAATGTATAAACCAGGGCTATTTTCTCACTTTCTGTTCTCACATAAACTAGATATAAGGACTCTCCCATCCAGGATGGTTTTCCATTAGTTCTGTGAAAAACTGAAATCTATTCTAGTCTGATATATGTTTTGCTGAGGATCCTTAAGCAGGATTTCCAATTCCAAATATCTCTGGATGGATGGTCTCCTTGAGTCATGAGCTGTGATGGCACGGTGGTTAGAATGCAGTACTGCAAGCTACTTCTGCTGACTGCTGGATGCCTGCAGTTTGACGGTTAGATTCTCACCGGCTCAAGGTTGACTCAGCCTTCCATCCTTCCAAAGTCGGTAAAATGAGGATCCAGATTGTTGGGGGCAATATACTGACTCTGTAAACGGCTTAGAGAGGACTGTAAAGCACTGTGAAGCGGTATATAAGCTATTGTTATCACCTTTCACCAGGTGGATGATCTCCTTGTTAGTGTCTTAATCTCTAGGAATATACTTCAGAATAGTGTTTATTGTGGTTATTGATTAGTCCAGTAAACATACTGTAGATATATGCATGTTTGTTATTTGTATATTCCTTATTTATAGAAATAACCACCTTAAATAACAATTCTGATACAGCAAAGGCAACAGAAAGTTTGAATGTTGGAGGAATTTATGCCAACTAATAGACAAAAAACAAATCATTTTTTAAATAATCTTGGTGCAAGCCCACATAAAACATCAATATTATAAATTCAAAATTCATATAAATGCTGACCTTATCTATGTGATAGCTAACATGCTGTCTTTATTTAATTTAGGTAGAAGGTGGTGAAAAAGATCTTCATTCAGGAAGTGCGGGTGGCATCATCCATGAGCCCATGTCTGATTTGCTAGCTCTACTTGGTAAGAAAAGAAAATTATACATTGTCTATATGTAATTGTTAGCCAAGGTTTTTATTGATGGGAGTGTGTGTGGGGGGGTGTCTCCCATTTCATAACATCTTTAATACCATAAAAACCAGAAAAGGGTTTGAAAATGCTTAAATGTTTTCTTCTGATGATTTCACAGCATTACTGAGTAGCCTCCTGCAATCCTCCAGAACAGGAGTCTCCAGACTTGGCAACTTTAAGACTTGTGGATTTCAACACCCAGAATCCCTTAGCCAGCTTCATGCTGGCTGGGGAATTCTGGGTGTTGAAGTCCACAAGTCTTAAAGTTTCCTGCTTGAGCAGGGGATTGGACTAGATGACCTCCAAGGTCCCTTCCAACTTTATTATTATTATTAAGTTGCCAAGTTTGGAGTCCCCTGCTCCAGAAGATTGGGAAGCTCAGTTGTGACCAATACCCTCAACTCTGTCACAGGGTACTATAAACCCACAGATGACTGATGCTGCATGGAAAAATGCAGAAGTTGCAAAAGGCTTCCCACTAATGCCAAATGTTATTGTGATATTTAAGATCTTAACCGCAAGGCTAAAATATTGAAGTAGAATGCTAATCGGAACGTAACATGAGGCTAACTGATGTTATATTGGCTGGTATAATTTGTATAAAGATTAATCGATACAAAGGCTTAAATTACACAAAATGTAAATTGGTTTTGTTTAAATCAATTTGTAAGGCAGAAGTAAACCTACCAGAATATATTACTTCCTATTTCAAAATGGCCCTCCTTTATTTTCCACTTGCACCTATATTCCTTGGTTAGATGGTGTCATTAATGCAACAAGCATGAATTTGGGCAACTCTGGGAGACACTGGAGGACAGGGAGGTTTGGCATGCTATGGTCCATAGGTCTGTGAAGAATTGGACAAAACTTAGCAACTGAACAACAACAACCTATATTCCACACGTAGCATAATAATATCTAAATCATTGGTTTCTTCTCTCCCTTATCATATTAAAGTCAGGCAATATCTCAGTTTCATTGAACAGTAAATACATATGATAAAATAATGATTACAATTTATTTTGGTTCCATAGACAATCTCATAAATTCATCTGGATATATTCTGATCCCTGGAATATATGATGATGTGGCTCCATTTTCAGAAGAAGAGAAAAAGCAGTATGAGTTGATAGAATTTGATGTGGAAGAACATAAATCAAATCTTGGAGTGAAGGAATTCCTTTATGATACCAAGGTGCAGTAGTTTCAATGATGAGAAATGGTTACAAAACTCCTCATTCGCTGGGCAAGACCTATGGTAGATTCTGTCTTCTTTTTTTCACAAAAGCAGAGAAAGAGTATAGAGGCACAACTTTTGATTAGTTTTATTAGGAATTATCCTCTTGGAAGCACTGGGCAGGAAAGAAAATGAAGGCAGGCATAGGAGAATAAATAAAAGTAATAGAAAGACCCAATAATGTTGCCTTTAAGAAAAGTCTGAAGAAAAATCATTTAAAATATATGCTAAAAAGAAAGTAAGTACAAATAGAAAATGAAGCTCAAATTTGTGACTGTGCCCCTTCGTATTACTGTGTTTTATCGACATAATGCTGGTGTTTACCTGTTGAAGCTGTTTGAGTAATTGGTGTTCATTTTGTTTTTGAACTGAGTATTTAATACCTTGATAAAAATGTGGCAATGAATTATTATTAATAGTTTAGATAATTTAATCACAATAGATCTGTTTCTTCATTACCATTATCAGATGGTATTTACTATTTTCCATTCTCCTAGTTATTTGGGTAGACAAGGAAGACCAGGTCTAGTATCTAAATTCTAGTTCTCTAGTTTTATCCAATATCTGTCTGATTTCTTATTTCCAAGAATGATTTTATATTTTTCAGTATAAATAGGAAATAGAGATCTGCATATTTAGTGCTTTCTGTAATTTTGTAAATCAGCACAACAAAAGATAGTAAAAGTTTCAACCCTTCATGTTATAAAAAGCAATAAAAACAAGATTTGTTCTCAATACAATTATTTATATTTATCTGCTTTCCAAGATCTGGGTGGAAATAAGGGAAAACGTCAATTTTATTTCTCTTGTTAAATCAACCTAACAGGTAATTGTTTAGAAACAGCAACTTTAATAACTATCATAGACCATTTTCAGGTTGTAAAATTAAGTCATTTAAATGACTTAGACACCTAATTTTGGTGTGAGGAAGCAGAATCTCAACTATAACCCCACTATGGTCATAAAAAAACCCCTTCAAACCTAAGATTTACATTGGATGGCCTTGCTCCAATGGTAAGTGGAAGTACTGTTCATCCATTCATAGCTATCTTTGCATGACATTATGCCCCTTTGCAGATACCTAGCTTGCCCCTCTGCTCATCCCAGTCTCCTTTTAAAGGTGTTGACTCTGGTTTGAGCAAGATAGCCATTCTGCTCTAAATTTGCTGGACACCACTGTCTTGCAGCCTTCTTGTGAGGAACTACTGTCAGTTGTAGATGAGCTCAAGTCCTTTGCTTGCCTGGAGAGGAACTATAAACTGCCTGTCTACTTGATGGCTCTTCCATTCCACTGCTATTGTTGGTTCTGTTTTTATCTTCACTTTATTTCTCCCCTGGGAACTGACCATTCCTATTCTCCAAAGATCAAAGGAGGGACAAGGGAAGCACATTCAGACATGCAGTATTCTATTCCTATAACTTTATAATAAACAGCATTAACGTCAGTTATTTTGCTTTCCTAGTCTAGTCTATGTTAGATGGTTAATCTATGCTTAATATTGTCAACTATTTATGATTGGCTGTTAACCTTGGTTTTGGTCATGTGTAAGCAGTCACTGCAAAAGTAGTGGAATTGGAGTAATATTTAAAAGTATCCTGAAAGCGATATCATTGCTCACTAGCTTTACTGAATACACTCTCACTAAAGTTTTCTATTTGGCTTTGTTCATTCTCTTTTTAAGGAGAAAATACTCTCACATATGTGGCGCCTGCCATCTCTCTCTATTCATGGGATAGAGGGAGCTTTTTATGAACCAGGTATCAAAACGGTTATACCATCAAAAGTCATAGGAAAGTTTTCAATCCGGCAAGTCCCTCATATGGATCTGTCTAAAGTGGAACATCAGGTAATATTTTCTTGAAACCTCATAACTTTCAACATATCTTAGATTATTATTTATTGATCTTCAGCAAAATTCTGACAGTTTTGGTACTAAGCTTCTTTTTCATAATGAAATATGAAAATTGAGCAGCTAAGCAAAACATTGAATTATGTGCAAAGATCTTGATATCAGGGCTCTGTCATCCTATCGATTATTCCATTCTCTTGTTATAGTATAAGCTCTAAACAGTTTGGTGATAATAGGCCAAGAAGACTGATCAAAAGCTGACTTCCTAGATCAAATAGGAGAAATTCAACTGCATGCCTGGTTGTTTCTGGTTCCTTGCCTACTAAGCATTGCTGGGTTATTATGCTTTCTTGAGCCAGAATTAGGGGAGAAACCAACCAATCCACCAGCTGGATCTGTTTTCTTTCAAGAAAGGCTTTTTTAATTGACTTGCCAGTTTTTAATAGCTTGTGAGGGCCCAGTCTATGGATAACAAGAAAGACGTGAAGAGATTTGGTGTAACTGCAAATTTCACATCCCAATATTGTTTGATCACCAAGGGACACATCTCTTGCCAAAATCACAGCTCTCTCGCTCTCTCTCAGATTGTTCAGTTGTGGTCAGTGGAGGGAACTAAACTGCTTGCAGACCAGATTCTGGCTGCAAAGAATCGTGACACTGTCACAGACTAAAGACTGAGAAGAGGCTCTAACTTGAAGAAAATTAAAGAACAGCAGAGAACTCAGAAGGAAATTGAAGATGAGGCATAGAGGGCTACTGTGGCCATCTGTGCATGGTGGTGATAATCCATCTCTTTTTATGTCCTTTAATTGGATAGTTGTGACTATCATCTTGATTGGGTTGATATCCCTTCTCCTCCTCCCACCGATCTGCTAATTTAGCTAATTCATTCAGTTAGAGGTTTCCTGTTTTGAGCGACACACAATATAAGTAACATTTTTAAAGATCATAATTTATTTCTATTTTAGGTGAAAAAACATTTAGAAGATGTATTCTCTAATCGAAGAAGTCCAAATAAACTGACGGTATCTATGCTAATGGGTGCAGTGCCCTGGATCGCCAATATCAATGATCCTCAGTATACGGCTGCTAAAAAGGCAATCAGGAAAGGTTTGTACTGTTTCAGACATTGCAGTTTGTTTGGCATGTGGCTTTTCACTGTCTTTATAAGGACCAGCAGCAAAGGCTCATCATTTATATTATACTTGTGCATTTAAAGTTTTAGAGAACTGGAAATAGAAGAAGCTACGGTTCAGTTACACAATACTTTTGTTCTATAAGGACGTTTCAAATACCACATCTGTATGTTGCATCATAAGCACTTTTGAAGGGATTTCAAAAGAAATTATGATAGAGGTCAGGCAGGACAGCTTTTTCTCATGTCTTTTCAAACTTAAGCACAGCAGGGAATTGGAATTGCTCAATTAGTTTCTATGCAATGACTCATACTTAAGCATCTTCGGATGTCTATCAACACATACTTTACCAGTAATTATATCTTGCTTTATTTTTAAGTTTTGTCACCACAAAAAAAGTTACATCATGTGTATATTTTCTCCTTCCCTATATTTTAGTTTTTAACCAGGATCCAGATATGATCCGGGATGGATCAACAATTCCAATTGCCAGGGTGTTCCAGAATATAACAAGGAAGAGTGTGATGATGCTTCCAATTGGTGCAATGGATGATGGGGAACATTCCCAGAAAGAGAAAATAAGCAGGTTCAAAATTTAAATTAATTTCATATGTTAGCATAAGATAATATAAATCATAATCTCCATTTACTCATTTATATTTCGATCAGTGGTGTGGATGATTATCGAAAGGGATCATTATTTCTCTGTCCTCCATTTTTGCGTGCATTAGTAACTGTCTCATTTCATAGAGTTTACAGAGGTCTCTGGTTACATAAACTTGGTTCATATTTTGTGTTAAACTAATATTTGTTTTTTAAGTATGATTTGTTGGATGAATGATTCTAATGTCTTTGAGACATAATATTAAGCCAAAAGCTATTATTTACTAAACAAAATATATCAAACTCAGCATACAGCCCAGCTGTTTAGAACTTCAAAGCAACCAAGCACGTTTAACTTTTAGATTGCTTGACAATTGTTTTTCTTTCCTTCTTTTCCTGATCAGATTTAACTATATCAGTGGAACGAAGATGTTTGCCTCCTTTTTACTGGAGATTTCAAAACTTCAGGCTTCCAACTGGAAACAGTAATGATGATCCATAAAACTACAGCCTTATTATTTTCATTTATGTCTTATGTAGGGTTGCAGTTCCAAATGCACATGGTGATGCTGTATGAACTCTTCCAGAAATATATTTTCAGACTTACAAATTCTTATAATATGTAGCTAAGTATTTCTTTCTCATTTGTTTTTTGCCCCTTAAATGTATGTATTTCAGTAAGAGAAAGGCTGGATTCACACATTATACTATTTGTTGAATGAGCCGGTGGATGAGTTCATATAAACCCAGGAATGGGCATCCTGCAAGCTCTATATGGTGCCTTGTATTGTATTTGTGTAATCCGTAAGTATCCACCAAATTTGTGGCAAGATGGTTGAAAAATCAGCATTTTTTAAAAATTAAAAATGACAAATAATGTTGGGAATGGAATCACAATGATTCTAGCAAATGAAACAGCTAGTTTGGTGACCATGTTGTGCCCAAGTCTTCTGCTGTTCAATTCTCTATTTGTAAAAATAACTAAAATGTGTATAATACAATGACAAGCCATTTTAAGAATTTTGGAGTAGCTTTGAAAAGTAATTACAACATTGAATTTGTTTTAAAAAAGAGAAACTAAAGAGTCTCACACCTCTTTATCTTTAATAAGCCAAGTTGAATGTTACAAAATGGTATGCAAAAATCTGAGCTAATTGAGAATTCTGTTATGCAAGAGCGCTGATCTGATCTTTTTCTGGATTTCAATTTTTAACTTTTTTAGCGTATAAAATCATTTTGTACTTTGGCAATACACATACAAGCATTTTTCTTTCTCCTATTTTTATTTTGTTGCCTGCTAAAAAGGTATACTATTTTTTTGAAAAAAAACCTGATATTATACACATTTTAGTTATTTTTACAAAACTTACATGTTTCTAAAAAACAAATGGATGCTATAATCTAAAAAAAAGGGCCAATCAACAGTGACAATATAATTTGTATTTTTATTTTAAAAGACCTATGCAAATTCCGATAGTCTGCTAGAGATTAAAAACTGATCTCATCATTTGGACCAAAGCGATCCAGGTACCACTGAGATAGTTATGTTTAAAATAATTTCTCATTTTCCTGGGATGGTTATTATATTTTGGGGTTTTAATTTACAATAATTATGGGAAAGTAAGTGACTGAAAAATAGGCAGTGGTTTGCAATTCCCAAGTTCTTGAGATAAAAAGCTGGGATTAATATATTCAGTTTATTATTATATATTATATATTCATCTAAATCAAAAGAAAATATATTTTGATATTTACTGTCAAAACAGGAACCGTCTATTGCTAATTTATGTTTAATTTTAAAAAACATTTTTGTAAAGTATTTACAAAATTAAAGATGAAAGTAATTTTAATTATTTTTTTAGCAGTTATTCAGTACATTTGTTTTATGATATAATGCTGTCTCTTTCCTTCAGTTCTTCATCAGTTCTTTTATGCGGTAGCTTCTTTTTGAATAGTCCTCAAACACTATCCATCAGATATATATGAACAGAAATACATCTAGGTACATCAGCTTATGTAAATTTGTTCTGCAGTATTTGCAAGAGTTCTTTGGCACTTTTATATTTGTTCTTCGGGATTTTAGTAGTTAGAATATTAACTGTTTGTTGACTGATACAAAATGAATACGCTGTATTTGGGGTTTTCATTTTGAACACGGAATGCCGGAAACTAATGAAAAGTTAGAGGCAGTCCTTGACTTATGCCCTTTTGTTCAATGAGAGTTTGGAAATATGACGACCTTGGAAATGGTACTTTATGGCCCATAAAGCATTTCTAGCCATTGCCCCATGATCATGTGATTGTGATCTGGATGCTTGGCAGCCTGTTCGCATTTACGATCAGTTGCCAAGCATCCTGTGATCACATAATTGCTATTTGCAATCTTCTCTGCTGTCTGCTTTAGGAATTTCATGGGGAAGCCGGCAGAGAAAGTTGCAAGTTGCTGTTGCCTGCCGAGAAGACCCCCTCTCACTTCTTGGGGCTGGCTGAAAGAGTTCCTGCCAAGGGAAGATGAACTCCTTTGGTGGGGTGCAACAATCAATCAGAATTGGAATAGAGCTGGAAGGGACCTTGGAGGTCTTTTAGTCCAGCCCCCTGCTCAAGCAGGAGACCCCATACAATTTGAGACAAGTGGCTGCCTAGTCTCTTCTTAAAAACCTCCAGTGATGAAGCAGCCACAACTTCCGAAGGCAAGCTGCTCCACTGGTTAATTATCCTCACTGTTAGGAAGAAGTTTCTCCTTAATTCCAGGTTGCTTCTCTCCTTGATTAGTTTCCCTCCATTGTTTCTTCTCTTGCCTTCTGATGCTTTGGAAAATAAGTCGAGCACAGAAAATAAATGGAGCACAGATCCCAAAGATCCAGGCTTATGGAGAAGAGCTAAACTCGGCAGGTAGCTCTTTCGCTCCATCCATTTTAAACCTAAGAATGCCGGGATTGCGGCCATTGTGCGTAACAGTCCCGTGGCCATCTCACTTAATGACCATTTTATTCAATGACTGAGATTCTGATTTCAGTTGTGGTCGTAAGTCAAGTACTACCTGTATACATTACATAGACAGCCACACACGCAGGTCTTCTTTGAGGACCCTTTTCTACTATGAAAGCAACTTCTTCAAATTCTGCACTTTGAAAGACAAGCTGTGTTGATGCTAATTAAACTGAACACTACTGAAACTAAAAACAATTAAAAACAATATGTGAAAATTTGCTTGTAAAGGAAGCCAAAAGTTTTTATTATCCTACAATAGTGTTCCCCAATCTTTGTGGCTTGGCAGTCCCGCGCTGGGGGGGAGGGGAACTGGGCCACCTGAGCAGTGACCCAGTGCACTTGCACGCAGCCCTTGCATGGGTGGCGAGCTGGTGCATACGCAGTTCAACTTGCACAAGCAGTGGGCTGGCATGCACACACGCAGGTGTCTGCTAACTTGCTGCTTGAGCAAGTTGAGCTGTGTGTTCACGTGCATGCTCTCCAACTAGCTACTCATGTGGCCTAATTCCAAATAGGCCATGATCTAGTAGTGGGTCACAGCCCGGGAGTTGGGACCCGTTCTACAATATTCATAATTGCAAGACTCATGAATAGCCCAATTAGACTTAAAATTCCCATGAAAAATATAGCTTTATATAGCACACAATCTCACATGTATTACTGGGGCAAAATTACAGGGTTTTTTTAAATTGCCCATTTGTCATAATTGGCACTTTCCACATTTCTTTCTCTTAGAATACTTGTGGCTCCTATTTAAAAGGAAGCTACCTCTATTCAAGGATTAATGTTTTTGTGACATCACATTAGGTTTTACATGTAGGAGTAGGAGGGAGGGAGGAGTCATTTGCAGAGTGAAATACTGTCTGCACCAGCAAAATTTAAGTATCTGATTTGTTTACTTAAAATAGGAGCCATAAGAAAGCTAGTTTTCCTAGGTTTTGCAATCACAGATGAGAGCCAGATCTCAGAGTAGAGACATCAAGTGAACAAGTAACAACTACTCAGCTTGTACGCCATGAAGCATACTATATGCCAAAGCTGGGAGGAAGAATTACACCAAGTGTAAGCTGCTCCAACTGGGCAGCTTTGGAGGCTGAGGCTACACATTGTTTTTTAAAGGACTAGCAACTGCAGTAGTTGGGGAGTAATGCAAGGTGAAGGATCTAGATGACATATGTTGTATTCAGAATTTCATTTTTTCAAGTATTTGAAAAGATTATTTTTTCTTAAGCTATATTATACATATTTTAGGTTGTTTATGGTAGTTCTCATGACCTTTCCACTTCAATAAGATGAGAAATTGTTCGCCAGTCTTCTGCAGCTTTAATCAGGAGCTCCAGGACAAAAAGGGGCTTGAGATTTATATACAGATGATGCTGAAGGTTATTCACCACTGACATATAGAAACTCACCTGCTGTTTCAGTTTAAACCAATTGCCTATCTAGCCCTGATAGCAATGGTTCTTTAACTTTCTTTTAGAGTTATAAAGGAAATTCACATATTCAATTAATGTCAAATGATTAATTGGTCCCTTTGCCAAGGACCTAGCCCTAGCTACATGGAAAAATAACAGCCAAACAATACTGAATCACACAGTATCTACTTGGAAATGTGGTTGGTGAATGTAAATCAAATGGTTTGATCAAATGGTTTATAATTAACATATTGTTTGGGCAACTAAACAAACAAAAGAAGTTGAAGTAAACATGAAGATAAATGACTTGTGCAGAGAACATTAGTATTCCCAACTGTTGACTCAGCTTCCAATGACAAGATGAGAGAATTCTTCTACTGTTTGGTTCTGCAGCTATGTTGACATGTCCTTTTATCTTCTTATACGCAATTGTCAAAGATGTATGAGACATGTTTAGAACAGATGGAACATGTTCCTATTCATATCCTTAGCAGTTTGGGAGATTTCCTTAAGAAGAACTAGAGGGCTGTTTCCAGAGGTCTTATTGTGCAAAAGCTAGACTCATAAGGAATGTAACACTAATCTGCAGCAGGAAAGGCTGTCCCTGAACTAGACGGCTGAAGTTTTGTATTCTTTCTTACCATATTGATTTTATTCTTTATTTAAAACTTCCTTTCCCCTTAAAAATAAAGGTATTTATTCTGTAACAAAAACATTGGAATTGTTTTTTTAACTAATATTTCTTTGAAGCTAAGAGGGCACCTCTGAGGCTGTATTAAAACAAGCGTTTGAACCTATGAGCTGCTTTATAACAAGATATTTTTTTTCTTATTTAGAAAGAGGTCAAGGAGGAAAAGTTCAATCTTCTCTTATCGGCATTGCTTCTCAGTTAGAATAAAGTCACTTGGGTATATTTCTCTGGAAATGTAACAATAATCATAGAGGGATATGCACATTGCTTAAATAACCCAAGGTAGGATACTGTATATACTTGCAGATAAGCCAAGAATTTTAAATGCCAAAATACTCCTCCAAATTGGGTTCAGTTTATCCATGGATAGACCCATTTGTCACTAGTTTTTTTTCTTCAGCTTTTTAAAAGTGCATATACAGCATATACT